AACTGTTAATGCTAAAACAGATTGTTTTCTGAGAAAGAAGTAGTAACCCTGCAATACTAAATTTGGAATAGAAATGTAAGTGTAAATTTTTTTCTTTTATTATTATTATTATTATTTAGTATTTTTTAAGGATTTTATTAATTTGAGAAAAAGAGATCAGGAGCGGGAGAGGGAGAAGCAGACTCCCCGCCAAGCAGGGGCTCGACCCTGGGACCCTGAAATGGTGACCTGAGCCACCCAGGCACCCCTTCTTTGTTCTTTATTTTTAAGATTTTATTCATTTATTTGACAGAGAAAACGAGCAGGGGGGAGCAGCAGGCAAAAGGTGATGGAGAAGCAGACTCCCTGCTGAGCTGGGAGCCTGACGCAGAGCTCCATCCCAGGACCCTAGGATCATGACCTGAGCCCAAGGCAGACGCTTAACCACACTTAACTGACTGAGCCACCCAGGCACCCCTTTTCTTCTACACACAGACACACACACACACACACACACACCAGCCACCCAGGCACCCCTTTTCTTCTGTACACACACACACACACACACACACACCAGCCACCCAGGTACCCCTTTTCTTCTACACACACACACACACACACACACACACCCACACCCACCAGCTCCGCTACACACACCAGCTCTGCCCCAATAGCGGTGGGCTCTAAGCACCTGAATTGTGGTGTCTGCTTACCACTCCCCTCTCCCCCCGCCATAGCCATGGATTGACTGTATTAAAAACATTAGTATGTTAATTTATAATAATAGTTTAAAAACTCAGCCAACACTGAACAAAAACATAATTAATCACTCTTGGAAGTAACTAAGGCACTAACTACTGACAGTGAAAGTGGACAATTAAAAGAAAAGAATGAAATGGTTATCCTGCCATTTATCCACAAATTGCCATTCAGGATAACCTAGTTGATTGGGAAAAGTATTTTTTTTTTTTTTTTAAAGATTTTGTTTATTTATTTGACAGAGAGAGAAACAGCGAGAGAGGGAACACAAGCAGGGGGAGTGGGAGAGGGAGAAGCAGGCTTCCCGCTGAGCGGGGAGCCCGATGCGGGGCTCAATCCCAGGACCCTGAGATCATGACCTGAGCCGAAGGCAGTCGCTTAACCAACTGAGCCACCCAGGCGCCCCTGGGAAAAGTATTTTACAGAGGAATCCCTTCAGATAAATGAGTAAGGAATGATAGAATTTAAAGACCCCGTTTTTGCCATCCCTAATGTGGTTCTGGGACTTGAATGTATATCAGAGTCACCTGGAGGGATTGTTGAATAATTCCTGACCCCACCCAGGACATGTGGTTCAGTAGGTCCTGGGGTTGGGCCTGAGAATCTGCATTTGTAATATGTTCAGGGACCAACTTTGAAAACCACCTTCATGGGATGATGTGGTTCAACAAACATGAAGGAGGTGATTTTCAAGAAAAAATAACAGGTGGAAAGACGACGGACAACCTCAGACCTCCATCCCAACCAGCAGCTGAAACAAAAGTATGGCCAAAGAATTTTGCAGAAGTGGAAGTATAAATGTGGGCATCTAAGCATCATTTAAGTGTTGGGACAATGAATGAAAAGCTGGCAAAGCCATGTCCATGAAGCACGATAAAAGAAGGGTTGTTTGGTTTCAAAGAACTGAGGGCAGTGGTTTCCTTATGTCTGCTACTTTTCAACCGAAAATCAACCTGCAGACCATTTTCATGAGCATTCTGAAACCAAGAAAACCAAGGTGGTCTGGAAATGCAGGCTTCTGTGGGACAGAATATTTCATACTGGAAATGTTTTATGCAATGTGTATTCAAGGTTTCTAAGAAAACCCACATGTAGGGAAAGTGACACACCAGAGAAATTTTTTTTTTAAATGTGCATCAAGGTAAAAAACTAGGATGCTGACCCGAGAGATGTGATTTCTAATATGGATCCAAAGAAGCAAAAAAGATACAGAACAATATTCTTAAACGGTCCATGGCATTAGCCATAGCCACATAGCTATTTTAAGTTCACTAAAATTACATAAATCTTAAAATTACATTTCCCCAGTCACCTTGATCCATTTCAAGTGCTCAGTAGCTACATGTGAGTGGCTCCCACACTGGACAGCAGAGCAATTCCATCGTTGCAGAAAGTTAGGTTGGCCAACACCAGTATGGACATTTGCTAGTATCTTACACTAAACACATATAACTTGACCACCACTTAGTAGGACACCTGAGTTAAATAAAAAGTGGTAAGTCATTCTCATACTGAATTCTGACAAGAACCTTGGTTGGAAAGGAAGGGGAGGCCTGGACACAGTTGGCTGTGACTCCTAGAATTCTGCACCAGAGTCTGTAAAAGGGAAAGTGACAGGGACGTTTTCTAGCATGTAAAGGTCACAGTGCAAGCCGTTGGTGGTTCTGATGAGAAAATCCGGCACAAACAACGAATCAGAGTGGCTTCAGAGAGAAAGATGTTAGTGTGGATACATACACAATGTGGTCAGCAGCCTCCCAGTGGGTCTCCTGGCCTCCACCTCACCGGTTCATCTTCTGAAAACTGCCCAATGTGAGGAAGAGACAGGCAATCTCTGGGATTTCATAGCTTCCCTGGCCCTTCTCTGCCCTTGGATTCCTCTTGTGACTGAGTGAGGCTCCAACACTTGGCCTGATGTTGTAACTAAGTAACTAAGGCACTAACTACTGACAGTGAAAGTGGACAATTAAAAGAAAAGAATGAAATGGTTATCCTGCCATTTATCCACAAATTGCCATTCAGGATAACCTAGTTGATTGGGAAAAGTATTTTACTTTAACCCCTCCACCCAGATCCCGGTCCAGCAAGAGCTGCCCACGGGAAGCTGACTGTGCGCCCAGATGCCACTTCCCAGGTCAAGTAAGTTGAGGGAGCCTTGGGCGAGCCGGAGGGAACATACTCTAGCCTCGTCTATGGCAATGTGCCCACTTGCCACATCCGTCGTGCAGGGGGAAAGCAGAGCCTGCACAGGAACGGCCGCAGTTTCTAAGAATCTGGGTCCTTCTTTGTTGTGTATCCAGAGTCAGGAGTGTTTTCTAAGAAGTCTTCCCCAAAATTTAGACTCCTAAGATGGCTTGATTTATTCCAAAAGTGCTTATGAATGAATCACCAACTTTGGCCAGTCAAGAACGGACACATAACTTACTTGGTCATCCGTTTGTTTAACATTTATTGAGGGTTTGCTATATGCCAAAGACGTAAGATGAACAAGAGGGTGGACTGTGAGGCACAGTCCTAGGAATGCTAGGACCCCGAAAGAGCCGATGTTTAGAAAAATTCTAAGGATAATAAAAGGCATTTTCCAACTGGCCCCAGCATCAGACACATTATGTGCTAACAGGAATAGGAGGAGAGCGGCGCTGCCTTTCAGTGTATTTCTCTGCTCTCCGTCCGGTCCGGGAGCGCTGCGTCTGCTTAGGGCCGACCTGGTCAGGAGGGAGCTGCATCCCACGGTCGGCAGGGCGGTGGCAAGTGCATTAACACTCCCGGTGACTGAGCCCGCGGAACTGCGCGGCGCTGAGCTGCCTCTGTGTTGGCAAGTCGGCCGTCCCCCCGTGGCCGCGCCCGACACAGCAGGTGACCGCCTCCGCGTCGACGGCCAGTGGCCCACGGCGAGGCCTGCAAGACGGTCCTGCCCTCACGGCACGGCCCGGGTGCTGTGCGGACTCGGGCCTGCGGCTCCTGAGGAGCGAGGGCTGCGGCTCCTGACGGGCGGGGGCTGCGGCTCCTGACGGACGAGGGCTGCGGCTCCTGAGGGGCGGGGGCTGCGGCTCCTGAGGGGCGGGGGCTGCGGCTCCTGACGGGCGGGGGCTGCGGCTCCTGAGGGGCGGGGGCTGCGGCTCCTGAGGGGCGGGGGCTGCGGCTCCTGACGGACGAGGGCTGCGGCTCCTGAGGGGCGGGGGCTGCGGCTCCTGAGGAGCGGGGGCTGCGGCTCCTGACGGGCGGGGGCTGCGGCTCCTGAGGGGCGGGGGCTGCGGCTCCTGAGGGGCGGGGGCTGCGGCTCCTGAGGGGCGGGGGCTGCGGCTCCTGACGGGCGGGGGTTGCGGCTCCTGACGAGCGGGGGCTGCCCCCGGACAGACCGCCCCGGGCCGGCGTCTGGTGCAGCCGCCGGGACCGACCTGTGCAGCCGTGGAACTGCACTGGGGGGGGAGGGGCAGCACTTTGTAAACCCTCGTTTCCTGTAATTAGTGCCCCTTCGGGAGTCCGCCTGAAGGGGGGCCCGGGCCTGCTGCCGCCGCTGGGACGTGACCTGAAGCTGCCCCGCCGGTTGCGTCGCAAAACCCTAGCTGTTACTTTGTGGAGCTGGAACGGAAGAGGAGCCAGAGACACGCAGGGTGGGCGTCAGAAGCCAGAGCCCGGCGCTGGAAAGTTCTAGAAAAGATGGCTCAGGGACTTCCTTGTGAGGGAGCCTGAGAAACCACCCGAATTCGCTGAGGCGTGGGAAAGCCCCGGCTTGGGGCGGAGGTTTGAGAGGCGCTCTTTCGGTGAAGCCGGCGTCACGAACACCCTCGTCCCCCTGAGGAACCTGACGGAGTGCGCACGCGCGTCGCCTGGCGACCCAGACCCAGGACACCGGGCGCGCGCGCGTTCTCGGGGCTCTGCCCTGGCTGCGCCCGGCCCTGAGGCCCCGCAGGACCCCCCGCCCCGAAGCTGGCCGGGGCCCCCCAGCGGGCGGGGCCGCCGGTGAGGGGCAGGTGACGCCACAGGACGACGCGCGGGGAGGCCGAAACGCCCCGGAAAAGCGTGTTCTTCCCTTCGGTCACACTCCCTTCCAGAGCCTCTTGGAACAAGAATTGACCACGCTCGAGGGGAGCCCCCTCCGCGCCCCTCGTCCCTCTGCCCTGCGGACTGAGCGCCTTTCGCACGCGGCTCCGCGAGTCCGGGCGTCGCCTAGCAACCGGGCGGCGAAGGGCTCTGCCGCGCCGGCGCCGCCCGCGCGGAGACCCCGCCTTCGTGTGGCCCCGGAAGTGGCGTAGGTGCCAGGCCCCGCCCCAGCAGAGGCGGAAGTGGAGCCGCCCCGGGCCTCTCGCGTTCCCGGGGGGACCTCAGCCCAGCGGTGCGCCTGGGCCCATGGCCGCCTACTCCTACCGCCCGGGCCCCGGGGCCGGCCCAGCTGGAGGCGCGGCGCTGCCCGACCAGAGCTTCTTGTGGAACGTTTTCCAGAGGTGAGGCCCGGCGCCACCCGGGCGCTTATGAGACTCCGCCGGCCTCCGCTCTGTCCTCCCCGGCCTCCTTCCTGGCTTCCCTCCGGCCTCCCCCGGCCTCCTTCCTGGCTTCGCTCCGGCCTCCCCCGGCCTCCTTCCTGGCTTCCCTCCGGCCTCCCCCGGCCTCCTTCCTGGCTTCGCTCCGGCCTCCCCCGGCCTCCTTCCTGGCTTCGCTCCGGCCTCCCCCGCTACCCCCACCCCCCTCCTTCCTTGCAGCTCCCTCCAGTCTTCCCTCGGCCTCCTTCCTGGCTCCTGTGGGCCTAGCCTCTGCCTCCTTCCTGCTTCCCTTCCTCCCATCACGACCCTGGCCTCCTTAGATCTCTCCCCGGCCTCGACACCCCCAACCCTCTGCTGCCGCCCCCTGGGCGCCTCCCTCCCGCCGGGGCCCTGTGGAGGTGCGGAGCCCGCTGCAGATGCTCAGGGGTCGCGGCCTCCACCCCTCCCCCTGCAACGCCAAGAGCCCGCAGCTGAGGGGCTTGCTGCTCCTGGAGGGTCTCCTGGGGGTGCTTGCTTAAGGCGAACAGAAACGCAGACCACTGCAGCGCTGTTACGTCGCCAGCGGCAGGGAGAGAAGCTGGTGGCCGTAACCACAGCGCCTTCCGTCTGGAGTCGTCCTTCCAAGTGAATGAGTGGCAGAGACTCGAGTGACTCACGGCCATGAAGGACTTGTCTGAGGCAGTCTTTTTGCTGCTTGTGGAAGGAGAGACTGGCGTGGGTGGAATTCTCACTGGCCAAGGGAAAACGAAGGAGAAAGGCCTGAGAAGGTGCAGGGAGAGAGACAGAAATGGTTAGGTGTCTCTGGGGAACCACCTTGGACTTTGGCAGGTGGCATATGCCTAGGAGGAGAGAAGGCGCCCAGATGTTTCATTCCGCAGCAGAATGCGGGGGTGAGACACCCTAGCTGAGTACAGGGGAAGGTCCCCGGGAGGGAGCATGCCAGGGTGAATGCAGGATTAACGCAAGAGTTAAATGTTTATGTTTGCCATGTTTTGCTTGTTCTGCACTTTTAATCACCAGCTTAACTGGTCTTAATTTTGTAGGGTTGATAAAGACAGGAGCGGGGTGATATCGGACAACGAACTTCAGCAAGCACTATCCAATGGTGAGTGGAACCTGGCCCTCGGGACTTCTACCGAACTTTGAGCCTGACCCACCTGTAGTAAATAGTTTCTTTTTCCAGGTACAGAGGAGTTATTAAGGCCTAACTGTTATTACTGGCGTGTGGTGGAGGTGCTTTTCATTTATTTTGCCAAGTGATATCCTGCTCTAAGTGCCTTGCTGAGCTAGGACTAGTGCAGGGAAGCGCTTCTTGAGAAATGGAGGTTGGGGTGCAGGTTTTAGGGAAGGATAGGAAGCTTAGCTTTGCACAGCAGATACACTTAAGGTACGTTGAAGATCACTGAATTTCTTAGGTAGGTCCCTCCATCTTTGTGACCTCTCTGGAGAGGATCATCAAGGTGCTAGGGCACCATGGGGAAGTGATTGGGTTGTTGGAGGTGTGGCGCTGGCAGTTGGATTGTGGGAAGGTGGACTTATCAGTGGGGGAATACTAGGTGTTCAGACAAGGGTACAGGATCATAGTTCTTGTGTGGCGGTGTGTTGGGGGCTCTCCATGGAGTTCTGTTCTTGCTGGTTTCAGCGTAATTAATCCATGGAAGTACTCTTTGAGACCTTTTACTTCATTGAATACCTGGCTATGTTGCCCTTTTTAAGAATCCCTCAGATGCCACTGTCTTTTCTGGTTCTTAGATTTGTAGGTTGTCTTTCCAGAGGTGTGCCATTTAAGGTAGAAAAGGGATTGATTCTAAGATGTCAAAAGACCCATTTTTATTAGTGGGCAGCAGTTTGATGTTCTGAAAGAGTAAGGATGCCAGCACTGTGAAGTAGTGCTGGTTGCCCTCCTTGTGGGCACATACCAGACATTTAGTGTTAGTCTTGTCATTGCGTCATGATTTGCATGAAGTGCAGGATTAGTATTTGCAGATTAATATGTCTAAAGAACGGTAGATAGTACTGACTTCTTTTTCCAGTATTTAACACTTGGGCCGCAGGTATTGGTGTATGACTTCATGTGTATTTATGTAGCTGTGTTCAGGAAACTAAGAAATCTCTTTACTTCTGCTTTGATGATTGTGCCTTCTTGATTCTTCTCTTGTTATTAACCCCTTTCCATTTTTTGTGTCTCCAAAGCTTGAGTTACACTTAGAGGAGTAGAAGACAGGGTTACTACTAGAAAGATGCCAAAACAAATGGAAATCCAGCAGGCTGTGATCTGGCAAACCTGGCTTAAAACTTTCTAAGTGTTGGGGCACCTGAGTGGCTTAGTCAGTTAAATGTCTGACTCTTGATGTTGGCTGAGGTCATGATCTCAGGGTCGTGAGATCAAGCCCTTCCACCCCCCATGCAAGCACCCTCACTCTCTCTCTCTCAGAAAACAAAAAAACTTTCTAATGTTGACCAAACAGATGTTTTCACATCATATGTTAAAGAGGGTGGCCACTGCAGTCAGAGTGCCCTCAGGGGTCATGCTTTGCAGGCATTCCTTTTGAGTTCTTTTCCAGTAAGTGAGGACCAATTCATGACCCATGTCCATTTGGACATCTTTTTGTCTGTTTGCTTGAAGTTTTGAGAGTGCCACCCAGGTTTGGGGTTTATGTGAAACCTCCACTGGGAGTGATGGTCACACTCTGACCTCATTAGCATGATGGTGTCCACCCTGGGAGCTCCTGTCTGGATTCAAATCCTGGCTCTACCAGTTCTAGGAATGTGACCTTGGGCAAGGACTTGACCTTTCTGGGTGGGTGGATGGAGAAAATGCATGGAGAGTGTTTGGTACAGTGCCTGGCACATAGCACGGTTCAGTGTTGTCAGCTGAAAGTATAGTAGTAGTATTGTTACCGGCCAGGGGGTCAGCTCGGGTTGGTGGTGTTGATAGTTGCCACTCACTGAGCATCCGTTGCATGTAGGCACTGTGCTGGGCACGTAACAAACCTAATCTCAAATCAGCATTGTTGTTGGAGCCCTGGGGGTGTGGTGGCGGCACCTATTCTGACCTATAGTGTTAGGCTTCTGTATTTTCACGAGAGGGTGTCAGTGCTGCCCTTAGTTCAGCTCGTTGTTAAAGCATACGGGGTCTTTACTCTGTCAGAACATAATCTTGAACTCAGCTACTACTAAATACCCACCAGGAACCTGTTTAGAAGAGAGTGAGTTTTAACAATTGCCTAGAGGATGTTTTGTTCACTGTTGCTGAGATACTTTGAAATCAGTACCTAGTTTAACCCAGCTAGTAAGTTTGGTCGGGACTGCCTCAGTGGCCTTTGTGGAGGCGTGGAAGAACTGGCCTCATGAAGCAGGTAGTCACTGTTACGCTGAAGAGAGGCAGGCACCGCAGCCACCACGCCCTCTGAGCCAGGGATGCCCAGGAAGCAGCCATCTCGCTTCTCCATGGGAGCATGGTATCTCTGGTGTTCTAAACACCTCTGGTGGCTATTTTGTCTTGTTTTATTTATATCTTATTAACTCTGAATCTTTTAACCAATTACATTTTCCTCTTCAAATTAGCTGGTAAAAAATTTAAGTTGGTGGCTTGCCACTAGCATGAATTTAGAATTTTGAGAGGTCAGTTTTACTGACCTGGTCTTAGATCCCTTGCTTTCTTATCCTCCTACTTTTCTCTTCCCATCCAACGTAATTACAATTTAATTCATTTTTGTTCTACCGTGGATATCTTTATAAATTTCTTTAAGTTCTTTCTGCAGTAAAGCAGGTTATTAATGATGCAGATCCCGAGAGTAGGTGAGTTACCCCTCATAGCTCTCAAGTTGTGGAGCCAGAATCTAAATCCAGATGTCTGTTGCTGGTCCCCCTCAGTGCTTCTGCTCATGTTATGCTTATAGGCACTCAAAGCATGCTGAGCCCCAGTGTCTTCCCACCTGTCTCCATGGTGGTGTCCACCCCCTTGCATGGGTTCAGTGCTCCTTCTGCATTGATGTAAGCTCAAGCCGTGTACATCCCGAGTTCCAGATTTTCTGCCTGGAGGGATATGCCTGCTCTTGAGCCACTGTGGCATCACTGTAGTGTCCTTGACACTCTGGTCTTGCTCTGTGTGATCACTGTTGCAGCTGCCTCTGCCACTAGAACGGCCACTTCCTGAAGGAGGCCAGGTTGGGCTCCTGTGCAGGGGTGTAGTGTGTGCACGGAAACTGGCCACTGGGTGGGCCCGTCGTGGTCCTCTCCGCTCCCCTTGACTTCCGAGAGCTAATGCAATTGACATTATTTTGACTTCTAATTGTTCTCCCAGGAATGGGCTTCTGTTTTCATATTAGAACTGGAATATTAGGCTATTTCAGGACGTTGGTTTACTTAGTCTGTTACTGGTGGGAAAACTGAAGGTTCAGACTTGCATGGTTTCTCACTTTAAATCTGTGTGTGTGTGTGTGTGTGTGTGTGTGTGTGTGTGTGTGTGTGTGCTCTCTGCGAAAATGTCGTTGAAACCATCCTGAAAGAGTACTTGTGGGTCCCATCCACTGAGTCCTTTATAAGACTTTATTCCATAGGAAAGCTTCTAAAGTTGACTGCTCTCAGGAAGGTGTGTAGTTAACGGAAGAAGACTGTTCTCTTGCCTTCTTTTGAAATGACATGTCATAAACTATCTCAGTTTGGTACCTTTTTTTTTTTAACTTGCATGACATTTCTTGGAATTACAGGAGAATTTAATTTTGCTCATGTCTCTTTTGTGCTTGTGCAGGTTTGCCTTCACATAACCTATGTAGGTATTTTGTGGAGACATTTTTTAGCTGCACTCTAAAAATAACCCATATATTCTTCTTAAGGTATTTTTATCAAAAGAGTTCTAGCTCTCTTGGGGATCCCATCTTAAGAGAAAATGAGGGAAATCAGACCGTATAAGCGACAGTTAGTTCCCTGCAGACCGTGCTTCTGATCCCATCACTGCTCCTGCCCCGACAGGCCCAGTTTTGTGGGTAAGGGTGTTTGCTGCTTTAGAGATTTACCCTCAGCTTCCTTCTGCTTGTGTGTGGGGAAGGACTCGCTCAGCAGGCCTGGATGGCTCAGAGTCTGCTCCTTCCCAGGAAGGGCTTTATGGCTGGCTGCCTCCTGTGACGTTTTGACTGAGAAGAGTGTTTTGTCCACCAAGGGCCTCGAGGTGTGTGATAGCTGTTTGCCTGGATAGTTGATACTAATAGTAGGATTTATGGCAAACACCTGCTTTCCCTCTGGGTATCTGGAGCTTCCATGATGGACTCCCAAGAGAAGCCCTGGACTCTAGACGTGGGAGCTTCCCTAGTGGACAGTATTTGGCCTGTGTCCTCACAACTCGTAGCTGGAGGAGTAAGCACGTCCTGGGCGGTACTGGTGTCCAGTGGACTTCTCCTGGTGCCTTTTCCCCCTATTGATTTTACTCTGTCCTTTCATTGTAACAAACTGACTGAGTATTGGAGTCTTAGTGAGTCATGGAGCCTGAAGGAGTCCTTGAGGAACCCTAGTACAGCCTGTCCTGTCTGCTTTGTCCAGAAACATGCCCAGCCAGAGTTTCAGATAGAAACAAAAGAAAGTTGGGATTTGGTGGACCTGGCTTTACTGACAAGTTACCCTGTAACCTTGGGTGTATCGCACTTCTGGCCCCAGTTTCTTTGGATGTAAAAATAGGAAGACTGGAACTTTAGATCCTTTTCCTCCTTGAGCCAAGCCCCAGTCCACCAGACCCTGCATCTGCCTGGTACAGAACTGGGAGACAATGTATCTACCGGGATTGAGTTTCACAGTGTTTCACTTAAGTCATTTAGATTGTTTCTAATTTTCATTAATGTAAATACTGTAGTAATTTGACCCCAAATTTCATAGAACCAGTTTTTAGAAGTGACATTTATCACATCAGGGGGTATAGACATCATTAATGCTGTTGATCAGTATTTTGATTGCTTTTCAGAAAGGCCATATTTCTAGTTGTGCTATTTGAAGCTGTAATTGAAGAAAACTGGGAAAGTGTGGAATTTTGCTGAACCTGAAGAGGCACCAAAGTCTTGCAAATTCCGTGCATTGAATGCCAGTGCTGTGTGCCCAGCCCTGCAGGACTTGCTA